ATAAATTCTTAAGTATACAGTGAGTTCAAACTCCAGGGCAGTGGAAAAGCACAAGATACATTGGTTATCAGTCGGAAAACAAAGGCACATGGGTTATCAGTTGAGCTTACTTGCTCTGCCTTTCTGCTAGCTATTCTTGAAATACTGTTGCCCTGGATACCTGGGTGTGGGGCTTTAAAAATTAACTTAGCTGAGAACTATAGAAACTTAAGTTTAATTCAGCTGAGAACTATAGGGACTATATTAATTTCAACCTTTTCACAATCACTTGTTATGCATTGGAGAGTTGGACAATGACTAAGGAGGATAGAAGGATAATTGATGCCTTTGAGCTGTGGTGCTGGAGAAGAGTATTGAATATACTATGGACTGCCAAGAAAACAAACAGATTCATCCTGGAGAGGGTTAAATCAGGCTGCTCCTTGGAGGCAAGGATTCTGAGGCTTCGTGTGACATACTTTGGACATGTTGTAAGGAGGGACAGGTCCTTGGAGAGGGACATCATTCTTGGGAGGGTGGAGGGACAGCGCAGGAAGGGAACACCCTCTATGAGGTGGATTGATTCAGTGACTGGGGTAATCGGGATGGATGTGTCAGAGGCAGTGCGATTGGCACAGCATAGAGCAGGGTTTAAGACTGTTGTGCACAGGGTGGCTATGAGTCGCAAGCGACTCCAAGCAACTCGACGGCACATAACACAAACAACAGTATACCCAGAACTAGAATATTTTGTCACAGGATCTATGCATATTTAATGTTACAACACGTGGGTCGAATCAGCTATGGGTTGGTTCCAACTAGATGGTATTAAGCAGAAACAAGAACAATCCCCAGTTACTCTGGATTTTTTCAGGTCCTTCTTACAAGGTGTCTTTGGGCGGGCTCAAACTTCCAAACTTTCCTTTGCCAGCTAGTTTCTAACCGGGGATTTGGATATTCCTTGATATTTCTAAATCAAGTTTCAAAGTGATCACGCTCATTACTTTCCAAGTAATTTCTAATTTAATTTCCACAAAGAATAAGATGCATTGGTTCTCCACCTTCTTGCCAACAGTTGTTTCACACACACACACACACACACACACACACACACACACCCACACCCTTGCCCTAATTCAGTAACTTTCAATTCAAGGAAATAACACTTATTTTTCAAAAGGCGTATTTCCTTAAGTATCAGTGAGACCGAGGATCTTTTTGTGTTCTTATCTTCTAACTGGTTTATCTTCCATGACATACTAGTTAATTTTCTTTTATTCATTTTTCATAAAGTTATTGCCATTTTAAGTTACTTGTATATGTTTAAGATATATTGCCAATACTGATCTTTTGTTACTTACATGTTGCAAATCTATTCTTCCACTTTCTAGCTTTTTAAAAATCTTTTTTTGTTTTATTTTCTAACATAGAATTTTAAAAATCCAAGTGTCCTAAATGAAATAAAAAAAAAAATCTAAGTGTAGTTAAATTAGGGGCTCTGGTAGTACTTCCTGCAGGCCAGTAATTGAACTGTTAACCAGTGGTTCCTACCTATCAGCTGCACCATCAAAGAAAGATGTAGCAGTTTGCTTCTGTTAAGATTTTTTTTTTTTTTTACACAGCCTCAAACCCATTTGGGACACTTCTCTGCCTTATAGGGTCAGTGTGAGTCAATATCAGCTCAACAATAGTGGAAGGGTAGTCAAATGTCTCAGTATTTTCCTCTGCAAATTCTATGCTTCCTTTGTTTAGTATAAGAAACACTCCTCTCCAAAAATGCTGGCAAAGAGGTGGAGAGATTGGAACTCTTACACACTGCCAGTAAGAATGTAAAATGGTTCAACCCCATGAGTTGGGAATAAAAAAACCGTTTGACCCAGCAATTGCGTTACTACTTATATATCCCAAAATAATAAGAGCTGTGACAAATTTATATACGTATTCCCATGTGTACTGCAGCATAGTTTACAATTGCAAAGAGATGAAAACAACCCAAGTGTCCATCAATCAGTGGATAAATGACAACAGAAACTAAGTTTCTTATTAGAGTGCTATGTAACACTAACGAATGTTTAAGAATTTGTGAAACACTACACAACATGAGTGAATCTAGAGGAAATTATGCTAAGTGACCTAAGTCAATAACAGAAGGAAAATTATGGTATTGTTGTTATAAGCCATTGAGTCATCTACGACTTATAGGGACCCTGTCTACAACAGCCCTAAACACTGCTCTGTCCTGTGCTAATCTTATTTTCTCTGACACATCTACCCCCATTACCCCAGTCACTGAATCCATCTCATAGAGGGTCTTCCTCTCTTGTGCTGTCCCTCCACCCTCCCAAGCATGATGTTGCTCTCCAAAGACTGGTCCCTCATTAAAGCATGCCCAAATAGGTTAGACTCAAGGAGCAACCTGGTTTCACTCTCTCCGGAATTAACCTGTTTGTTCTCTTAGCAGTCCATGGTATATTCAATATTCTTCTCCAGCACCACACCTCAAAGCCTTCAATTCTCCTTCTATCATCTCTAGTCAGTGTCCAGCTTTCTGATGCATAGCAAGTAATTGCAAATACCCCAGTCACTGAATCCATCCACCTCATCAAGGACCTTCCTCTCTTACACTGTCCCTCCACCCTCCCAAGCATGACGTCCCTCTCCAAGGACGGGTCTCTCCTTGCAACACGTCCAAAGTATGTCAGATGAAGCTTCAGAATCTTTGCCTCCAAGGAGCAGCCCAGTTTCACTATCTCCAGTACGAACTTGTTTGTTCTCCTAGCAGTCCATAATATATTCAATACTCTTCTTCAGCGCCACAGCTCAAAGGCATCAACTCTCCTATCATCCCTAGTCATTATCCAGCTTTCTGATGCATAGCAAGTAATTGCAAAGATGGTGGCTTGGATCAGAGATTAAATTAAAAGGCAAATCAAGGCTTTCTTGGAATCCCCTAACAATTGTTTAAGGAGAATCATTCAATAGTCTAACATAAAACTTCTTCTGTTGAGTGAAATATCTCAGTCACATAAGGACAAATACTACATAGTGTCACTATTGTAAAATGGGACTGACAGAGGGGTTGGGGGAGAGACTGAGAAAGATGGGATAAATTATGTAGGCTACATGGAAACAGATGAGAGAGAGAACTGTTTAAAAGGTATATATATGATTAGGTATTATTGTCATGACTTGAGTCCAGAATGAAGGCTGCATAGTGGAGTGGACTTGGGGGAGGGATTGTATAACAGTGAAAGAGTTTTTCTTTCACTTTTCAAAGAGAAGAATGAACTGGAAGTGTGGGGTGGGCAGGGAGAAAAGTGCGACAAAGAACGAATGGAAATCCCAAATCTCTGGAAATATTCATTAAAATTAATAATAATTTTAAAAACCTTCTTAAAATATTATTTCTGTTCCATTTCTTTTTTTCATCTTTCCTATTTCTCGACTGGAACTAGATAGCCCCTTCTAGTTTTGTCTCCAAGTTCATTCAAAACCATCCTCTCTTCATCCTTCTCATGCATCCCTTTTTCTAGATTTGTTTTCTTCTCCCATCCTGACTTGCTAGATTGCTTCATTTCAGTGACAACACTATCAGTCAGTCTGAGAGTTCTTTTGTTCCCTTAGCTATTTTTGTCTACTATTTGATCAACATCACAATCATAATCTAATGGTAGGGTACAACGTTTTGGTATACAGAACTTCTTTTATGGGGGAGGTTAAATTTATTTTATATTTGTTTACACACAAAATTTATATACATTGTTTCATTCATATATATTCTGTTTCACACATTCCTTCATCCACATTGTGTTTCATAGGCTCATTCCCATACATTGTGTTTTATAAAATTAATCCCCTTGGATCTATGCCCATTATTACCCTATCTTCTCAGGTTCCCACTGGCTCTTTCCCAATTCCGTCACCTCCTCCCTCCCTCACCCCATGGTCTCTCCCCTCCCCACCTTTGGCCTCCCTGCCCTTTCCTCCTTCCCCACTGGACCATTGTACATATCCTGCTAGTAATCCTTCTATTTTTACAATAATGGTCTTATGTATTATTTGTCCTTATGAGGGGTTTTAATTCCTTCTAAGATACTTGCTGATATAGGAATCTGTTTGGTACTAGTTCTCATGGAATACAAAACTTTTAAACAAAAAAAAACACCATTGGGTTTAAAATATCACATTATAAACTCTATAATAAGGATGACTTCTAAACTCAAAAGTAAACAATGTGCATGTGTGAAAACAATTTTAATGTTTTATAATAAGTTTTTAATTTTTTAGTTGGTCTTTCTAAGTACAATTAATTATTTTGCAGGCTAAAGAAGGTGCATTTATTGTCAGAGATTCAAGACACCTGGGATCTTACACAATTTCTCTCTTTGTACGAGGTAGAAGGTAAGTAGTTATGATTGAAATTTCTTTAGAAATAATAATTACTGGGGCTTTTTTTATGGAGGTGTCATCACGTAATGTATTCTAGCGTGTTTGTTGTGTTGTGTCATTGAGTCGAGACCGATTTATAGCTGACTCTCTGGCACACTTTCAGAGACAGTAAATCTCATGGGAAAAGACTGCCCTTCCTTCCACAGAGCAGCTGGTGGATTTGAACTATATGTCTTTGGGATTGCATCACAGCTTCTTACTATCAGAGGAAAACTTTTAATTGGGAGAAAGGAAAACTACAAGTTCTAGCACCAGTAGTCTCTTTGACATTGAATTTCTTATGCATTCTTTGCCTCTCTTTTCTTATCCATTAAGGAAAAGCATTCTATTACACTAATGGTGCCTTCCTGACATTCTGTTCTCTGAAATTTACCTCCAGCGAATTATCCTACATTCAGGATGCTTCTTAAATTTTTCTGCTTGATGGTATTCTTTGAGTATGACTATTAGATCCCATGACTGGGCTACTATTATTTGAGAGTTAACAGTGCAGGAGTGGTTCTAATGAGTGAGGAATGGAAGTTGGAGGATAAACACATCACCTTCTTCATGCTTCATTGAGATGATGATGTTGGCTACCTGTTAACTTGTTATGTAGTCAGTTCTGATTCGTGACAACCTTGTACATATCACAATGAAATCTTGCCTGGTCCTGTGCATCTTCACACTGGTGGGTATGTTCCCAGTTCATTGCTGAGGCTACTTTATGTTTTTACTACCTTCCAATCTAAAGACTTAGTTGAAGTCCACAAGAATCAAGATATGATCTTGAATTTATTCCATGTAAATTCCAAGATCATCTTAAGAATAGAAGAAGCACTGAACACCAACGATTGAATCCCAGATGAGTTACGCGATGATATCAAAGATATCACCATAAAGAAAGCAAAAGATCATTACAAATATAGAGGAGAAAGAAAAAAATTGAAACAGATGTCAGATGAGACACTGAAAATGGCACTAAAGTGTCTAGAAGCCAAAATAAAAGGAAAGCATGTCAAAGTAAAAGAGCTGAACAGAATATTTCAAAGGGCAGTTCGAGAAGACAAAGCAAATAACTATAATGGAATGTGCAGAGAGCTGGAATTGAGGAACAAAAAGAGAAGAACTCTCTTCATTTCTCAAGCTGAGAGAACAGAAAAATAAATTTAAGCTTCAAGTTACAATATTGAAAGAAAGGTGCTATGGGCAGATAGATTTTTTTGTTTAATTTTTTATTTTATTTTATACTGATTTATTTACAAAGTTTGAATACACTATTTTTTTAATTCACTATTTTTGACACAAGATCCTTCTCATCTCCTTCACACATACCCCCACCCGTCGAATTGTGCAACCTTATGATTAATATCCCAGCTCCTGCCCTCCTTACCCCTCTTCTTCCATCCTCTTCCCCACCGTGGATTCTCATACTCATTCTACAATAATGGTTTTATACAGTATTCATCCTTGTGGGACTAAGTTAGTTCACTCAGCATAATGCTCTCCAGTCCCTCCCAAGTTAGGTAGTAATTTAAAAAACTGATTGCTCCTGCGTGTCGCATAGTATTCCTGTATAAATGTAACACAACTTCTTAATACATTCATTTGTGGTTGGACACCTGGACTGTTTCCACGTTTTTGCAGTGGTGAATAATGCTGCTGTGAACATTGGTGTACATGTCTTCATTTGAGCCTCAGTTCTCATTTCCTTGAGGTATATTACGAACAATGGAAAACTGGGTCATATGGAATTTCTATGTTCAGCCTTTTGAAGAAGTGCCAAACTGCCTTCCAGAGTGGTTGTACCATTTTCCAATCCCACCAACAATGTATAAGAGTTCCTATCTCACATGAACAGTAAACTGAATGACCCAGAAAGTATCAAGAGCTGATGGAGGAATATAAAGAGTCACTGTACCAAAAAGAAGTGACTGACACTGAGAAACTTCAGAAAGTAGTATCTAAAAAGGAGCTGATGACACTGAAGAAGGAATTTTGAAGCTGTATTGAAGACATTGACAAAAAAAAAAATAAGTCCCAGGAATCGATGGGATACCAGTTGACTTGTTTCAATTAACAGACACATCTCTGAATTTGCTTATCGGTATGTGTCAGGAAAATTGGAGGACAACTGACTGGCCAACAATTTGGAGGAGGTCCATATTTGTTCCCATTCCCAAGAAAGGTGATCCAACAGAGTGCGGAAACTATCCAACAATATCATTAATATCACATGCAAGCAAAATACTGCTGAAGATCATTCAAAAGTAGCTAGAACTGTACAACCAGAACAGCACATAGATAGGTAATTGCCAGAAGTTCAAGCAGGATTTAGAAGACGCTATAGAACTAGGGATATCACTGCTGATGTCAGATTGATCCTGGTTGAAAGTAAGGAATACCAAAAGAGGGCCTATTTATGCTTTATTGACTATGCAAAGGCATTTGACTGTATGAATAATAACTTTATGGCTAACATTGAGATGTATACCAGAATACCAGAGCACTTAACTGTGCTCATGAGAAACCTATACCTTGACCAGGAAACTGCTGTGCAAACAGAGCAAGGGAAACTTACATAGTTTAAAATTAAGAAAAGAGTGTGTCAGGGTTGTATTATGTCTCCACACCTATTCAATCTATATGTTATGTCTCCACACCTATTCAATCTATATGTTATGGGAAGCCAAACTTTATATTGTATGAAAATCCTTGTTCGGGAATTGAAGGAATTACAGATTTATAAGTTAGGATTTCTCTTGTGGCAGATCATAGAAAATGAGCTGTTGTTCCCTGCAGCCAGGAGAGAGCAAGGGGCCCCCTACAGAGGGAGTGTTACTTCCTGAGCTAGAGTTCACCCTGAGGCATCCAGGCAATCCTTAAGGGTAAACCAAATTCTTGCATTTGTGAACCCCTCCCTCCTGAGTCAAGCAGAAGGTTTTCAATAGGAAGAGCTTGGCTTCATTTGCATTGAATTCTCTTTGTGATTTACTTCCTGATAATTTTCAATAAAGATACAGAGAAGATTGGCTTGGGGTCTTCAGTCGAGAACTGCTGCCCCCCTGTTTTATGCTCTCTGCTTTATCTCATTCCTGGCTGTTTGTCTCATTATTAATAATTATAAAATTATTCCATTCTTTGGGACCTTCGGTCTGCAACAATATGCTGAGCAAATTATTCAAGAAGCTGGACTCCATGAAGAGGAGAGTGGAATCAAGATGCAGATTCATCAATAACTTGCAATAATCAGAAGACACAATGTTGCTTGTTGAAAGTGACGAGGACTTGAATCACTTGTTGCAGAAGATCTAAGAACACAGCCTTCATTATGGATTGCGTCTCAATGTCAAGGAAACAAAGATTCTTACCCTGGGTCGATAGGCAGCATCATGATTGATGGAGAAAAGATTGAAACTGTTAACAACTTCATCTTACTTGGATCCACAATCAACACCCTTGATACCAGCAGTCAGGAAATAAGGAGATGCATTGCACTGGGAATATCTGCAGTTAGAAACCTCTCCAAATTAATTATTGAGGAGTAGTGATGTCAGTTTGAGGACTAAGGTGTATCTGATTAAGGCCTTGGTTTTCCCAATCATTTGCCATGCATCTGGGAGCTGAACAATCAATAATGATGACAGAGGAAGAATTGATGCCTTTGAGTTATGGTGTTGGAGAAGAGTACTGAACATCCCATGGACTGCAAAAGAACAAGCAAATATGTCTTGGAGAGGGTGCAGCCAGAGTACTCTTTGTAGTCAAAGATGATGAGGCTTCACTTCACATACTTTGGGTATGTTGCTTAGAAGGGGTTATTCTTTGGAGAGGGGCATGATCCTCAGAAAGGCAGAGGACTGGCAAAGAAGAGGAAGACCCTCAACAAGGTGGATTTACACAGTGACTGCCGCTATGGACTTTAATGTATCAGGCAGTGTCAGAATGGCACCAGAGAGGACAGGGTTCAGATCTGTTGTTCATAGGGTGGCTATGGGTCATATTCAACTCAATGACACCTAACAACAATCTAGAGAACTTACTTCTAGACTGTGTTTTATTGTGATCCATAGAATTTTCATTGACTACTTTTCAGAGGTAGATAACTAATTCTTTCCTCCTAGTATGTTTGAAATCCCACTGACACATACTTACCATGGATGAGCCTGCTGGTACTTGAAATAGTAGTGGCTTAGCGATTGTCATATTAATCAAAATCTAAAAATGATGAAATGTATTAACGAGTGTTAATTTTTTTGGACAATACTCTTTTCTTCTAGACGACTTTGATTGATGTTATGTTTGAATCTGAGGCCTCAATAAGATAGTTGGGAAATTTTGCTGGGGTGATGAGATGCGTGTTTCATTTAATCCACTTGCTCTCCAGTGCATGGTTTTGCTAAGCATTCTTATTTTTCCTAAGCATGTTTTAAGTGTGTTTGTGTTGCTTAATGAATTGGCTAAGTTTGGCAATGAGGTGATCTTTTGACTTATTCACTTATTCACATTTTTTGGTTGTACAAGTTCTGAGGCTGCCATCAAACATTATCAAATTAAGAAGAATGACTCAGGACAGTGCTATGTGGCTGAAAGACATCTCTTCCAATCAATCCCTGAGCTGATCAAGTATCACCAGCACAATGCCGCTGGTAAGTGTGAAGCTTCGAGCCAGGAGTGTCTGGGAGTGTTTGAGAGGCAATGCATCTTTGGTTCTGAGGTACTCAAGAGGATAAAACTCATTGAGGAACTTGAAATACAGCATATCTTCTGAGTCATTCTTCTCCTCATCGATGCTGCTCTGTTTTTCTACTCAAGTGACGAGGGATAGGTCAGTGTCTTACATTTTTGCCTGGTTAGAAAAATGATAGATAATGGGAAAAGATAGATTATGTCCTTACTTCTCTGTTCTTGAAATTTACACAGAGTCCTGGTGGTGCAATGGCCAAGCATTTCTCTGCTAACTGAAAGGACAGAGACTCAAGGCCCCCAGTTCTGCAGGAGATCTGCTCCCATAAAGAGTATAGTCTAAAAGAAGGTGTAGGAAACATGAGACGCAAGTTCTGCAACAAGCTTTCTTCTTCTTTATGGTGTGTTGCTGGCCCAATTCTGCATGGTTCACACCAAGAGAAGGGTGTCTTTATCCTCCTCACCTGAGAGTTAGATCCTTGAAAGTTGTCGCCTCTCAGCATGACAAACAGAAAACTTCTTTGGATTGCTACTAACAAATGGGCAACTTAACATGGGGGTCTGCCCCTTTGTTGGTCCTCAGTTTCCAGTCCTTCCCTAACAGACAAAATCCTTTAGCAGAAATCCCCTTTATAGGCTAGCCACAGCACACTTTCTAAGCAGCTGTGTAATTGGGCCTTTTTTTTTCTTTTTTTTTGCTTTTTTTAAGATTTCAACATTTTTTGAGCAGCAATATTTTGAAAGGTCAAAATGCTGTTATGGTACTTAACAAAACTATTTCTAATTATCCTGGGAGACCTGACTCAATGGTACATAACAAAAATAACAGAGAAACATTTGTATAACCAAACCTCTGCCTTTAATTGTACCATCTTGGCAATTCATGATGTCCCAAAACAACTTTACAGAATTCTGAGTCACTTCTTAGACCTTCGTCTCCATGGAAATGAAACACCATTCCCAAAGATCAATTTGAAAGAAGATGATTATAAACAAGCTGAAGAGAGAAGTCCTCTCTTGTCTAATAACTGGGGCAAAGTCTCCTTCTTAGGTCAAACTAGGAAAGTAAGGACCATGTCTCCTGTGACCTCTTCAAAATTAATAGCTAGTGAAATTCAAGCAATCCTCTTCCTCTACATGGTCAATAAAGTCTCACAGTTGCCTGGCAGAAAGAGCAGAAGTTGATGAACATATCAGAACTCATCCCCACTTAAAGAAGTGCTGACAGTGGCTTGGATGAGCTCAATTCTCTAATTAACCTCTGCTCCATCCAGCCTGACTGTGAAATATCAATTTTGAAAGTTTTGGGGTATTGTCTTTGAATAAAAGAACAAAACAGAATGACTATTTTAAAAACAATTACAATTCAGTGTACAACCTTTGAGATTTTTAACCATGTAAGCATGCAATCAGTCCTGCAAACATTGAGACCTATGGAAGGTACCTACCATTTGTCTGTCAGTATGTTGTGCTGAGATGACTTGCATGTTGCTGTACTGCTGGGAGGTATATCACTGATATTGTAAATGCCAGAAGGGTCACACATAGTGAACATATTTCAGTGGTGCTTCCAGACAAATGACAAACTGGGAAACAGAACTGGCTATGTACTTTTGAAATAATGGGTCCTTGACAACCTTCTGAATGGCAGCACAATATTGTCCTCTTGAGTGCTAGAAGATGAGGCCTTTCATTTCAAAGACAATGGAAAAGGCCTGGGGGGAGAGCTAGCACCTAAGACTTAGTGACATAGGTGAAATAAAACTTGTAGACAATAAAGGACCTTTATTTGCTGATGTGACTTGTGTTAACATGAAGAGCAGTAACTGTTAGGAACTGGAAAGATACAGTGATGAAACTCAATATCATCAATCAGAAGAAGGTCAGGAACCCTCAAAAGTGATCATCAATTGCTCACGTGCATTTTCAAGGGGAAGCTGAACAAAATGAAAATAAGTCCACAAGAGCCAAAATATTATCTTCCACCTAAACAGAGCTCTTACCACATTAGGAGGGCACACTGTAGTGTGACAGGAAGTGTGAAGATGACACAGCCTAGGAAGGGGTTCACATCCACTGTTCACAGGGCCGCTGTGAGGCGTACTCGACAGCACCTAATGACAATAGCAACAATGACAATAAACAGAGATCTGAGTAGTAGATTTCAAAGGATGGCTTAAGAAGACAAAGCCAAATGTTAGAATATGCAAAACCTGAAGTTAGAAAACCAAAAAGGAAGAATATGTTTGGATGGATTGAAACAATGACTAACAGAATGTACTTGATTATGATAGGAACAGTGATAATCGTGCATGATAGGACAAGGTTCAGACCCATGTTCATAGAGTCACTATAAGTCGTAGTTGGCTCTGCCAATAACCACAATCCAAGAGCTTCAGTACTTCTTATGACTTCCCTAATCAGTGTCTAACTTCATGCTCCTACCAGGCATCTGAAAAATTCTATGGCTCTTAACCCTCTAAGTGACATCCTCACTGTTTGGCATTTTAAAAAAGTCCTTTGCAGCAAATTAGTCCAACACAATAGATCATTTGAATCTCTGACTTCTGTCACCATGGGTGTTAATTGTAAATCCAAGTAAAATGAAACCTTTGACAAAGTTAAGCTTTTCTCTGTTTATCATGATGTTATAAACAAATTTATCTTGGTAGAAATGCTACTGGAATGCTCCTTGAGGACAAGAATGGCGAATTTTCACCTCACATCATTTTAGCTATATTATCAGGAGGGTTCAGTCCTTGGAGAAAGATATCATGCTTGATAAAGTAGACAGCAAAAAAAAGAGGACAGGCCTTAACAAGATGGTTCAACAAGTGATTGCAACAATGAGCTCATGAAACAGCAGAAGTTGTGAAGCTGGTAACGGACATGGTTCTGGGTTAAAAGGTGGCTAAGGAAATGGTCATAATGTGGCTCGAAAGCTGACGCAACAGATCTCAGACAACACATAAGGTAGAAACGTGGCAGAGAATGAAAAATTCATATATTCTTCACTAAATAGAGAAGAAGAGAAAAGTGGTGTCTATGCCCTAACAGAGACAGAAAACCTGTGCTATTTGGAAAAAAATCTCCACAAACTTGTTAAGTTCTCATGCTCACAGGATTCACTGCATTGTCTGTTAAAGAAATGTTTTAAAGGAAGGGGGAAATGAAGACGATTAGAACCTAGAAAACTTACTGAAACAGTTCTACCCCATCACATTAGGTTTCTATGGATTGAAATCTCACTCGGGGGACACACAACATATATAGGCAGAGTGGTGGCACAAATGATTGATCATTCAACTGCTCACTATAACAAAAGGTTAGCAGTTTGAATCCACTCAAAAGTGCTTTGGGGTTCCAGATCTCCTCCTGTGCCAGTTGGATCTGATGGTACATGTTTGTATTTTTTTTTTTTTTAATGCTTTTGGGGAAAATTCTGGCAATCTACTTCTGAAAGATCCCAAACATTCAAAATCCAGTGGAATGAACTTCTATTCAGATACATGTGGTGTCACCAGAAATCAGTCAGTCAAGTCATAATTGACTTGATAGCAATTGATTTAAATGTAGTATCATTTCAAATGCCATAATAATGGACCTCCACTCTCTTTGCCTCCGTAAGTCTACCCTTTACTTTAGACAGTTGCAATAGAGAATTATCCTTAAAACTCTCATACTTAAGTGTTTCCTTGTTTGAAGAACAGAAAGAATTGCACAGCCTTTCACAGTTACAATTTGGCTTACACAAACATACCAAATAATACATTTAACTCTCTTCCCTAAGTTGTACTTCACAAGAACTGCTATTTGTGCAAAAAATATAATCTGTGGGAAGATATGTGCTTCCAGAAATTGCTACCACAACTACAATCATGTTTCTGGCCTTCAACATGTGCTGGACCACTGGGTGCCACAGGGGAATCGTTTTACTTCAGCATTGCAGAACCTGGAGCCCGCTGTAACTTTTCAAAGTTTGGACATCTTGTCATGGAGTGTACTTTAAAAAATTTCTTCCACGGAATATTGTGTTGGGGGGGGAAAATTGCCCTTTTGGAAAGGGATCACTTTTTCATCACATTGTTTCAAAACATTAGGAATAAACCCAAGGGTTTGGTCCATTTAGGAGATGAGTGCATGTGAATATTCTAGATGGTCACTGGGAGTTTGTTTAGAGAGCTCACCAAATAGTGCGTTAACACTGAGCTGGAACTGAGTCAGCGGGTTTCCAAGGCTGTGTGTCACATAGGGGGAGAGTTTATCCTTCTCCCTCAGAACCCTCAGTGAATTAGGTTAGCAGCACCCTCTCCCTACAAACTAGGCCACCAGAGCTCCACAGCAATAACTCAAATGAAGAAGAAAACTGCAAACAAAAGGTCTGAATGCCCTAATACATTAAAAAGATTTGTGGACAAATTCTTTGAATTAGCAGCAAAACATCCAGTCAAGGCCACCGGGCGCCCTTGGTTAAGAGATGTCATAAAGTCTAGGGCATAATACCTAGGTGCGGCCAGGAAGGACATATCTGTGGCTCAAGATAGAAACCCTCCACACCAGAAAACCTGTTCTGCATTTTCTATCTCACTCTCCTCTTTCCCCTTCTGTAGAAGAAAAAAAAAATGAAGTGGTTGTGGTGGTGAGGTGGGGTAAAAAATGAAGTTAATCAGGATGTGCTGGCCTGAAAAGACGCCAGAGATAAGTCAGTAAGTGGGAGACAAATACTCCAAAACACTGAATTAGAGTCCCAGCTTCGCCATGTATATTTTTCATTACCACACACACACTGAAGCCCATAGAAACCAATTATGTTGATGTTTAGGAAAGATTTTTACATTACTGGGCTAGAAACTGTAATGTTTACCTCTGGAGGAAAGGTCAGGTAATAAAAGAGGATTTCTTCTGCTTCACAGATTTAGATTTTTTGATTTATTTTTTTTTACTCTTATGCATTTGTGCTCAAGCCTTTCATTCATAGGGTCACTATGAGTCATCTATGGCTCAACGGCACCTAACAACAGCAACATCATGCATGTAAATAACTGTTAATAGGTATAAAGATGACATCAACAATTTTGACAATAAAAACTAAATCAGATAGGAATAAATTTAAAACAAAGGTTGAATATGTATAATCTTGATGCTGTTCATGAGAAGAGAAAAGAAAGGAGGGATTAAAAAAGAAAGAGAAGAGAAAGTGTGGGGCCCAGAAATAGCTGATCTTTTCTTGAAAATTTATTTCGAGTGAGTTCCTACTCTGAGTATTTTTAGGTGCCCTTATTTGTTTAATCTTTAAAGCAGCCTATATATAAGGCAGCTGCTATTATTATTTCCATTTTGCAGTTGAGAAAATTAAGCACAGAGCTGATAATTTGCTCAAGGTCACAGTGTTAGAAGGTAGTTGTGCCGAGGTTTGAACTCATAGTCTGTACTTGACAAATTTGTCCTATGAAAAAAGGGCAGATCATGGCATTGGGGGACACTTTTTCCTGATTCATTTTTGGGAAAGGTTCTGAATTTAAGCCCATGTGTGATACAAATGGCTACAATTAGCATTTGTAGCTTGAGATTTGATTATACTCAGAGGTACCATGGAAGAAAGGTCTGGTTATCTACTTCCATAGTATCAACCATTGCAAATCCTATCAATCATAGCTTGGAGCCAACTTGATGACAATTTGTACAGGTTTTACATTTGAACTAATGACTATGTTTTTTGAGATCTGGTCAAGTAAAAAACCCCATTGTTTGTTGCTCTCCAAAGTACTGAAGAGCAATGGTGTCTCTCTGTAGACTAAGGTGCGTCTGATACAGGCCATGGTCTTCGCAATCACTTGTTATGCATCAGAGAGTTGGACAATGACCAAGGAGGATAGAAGGAGA